ACCCCCAATGTGCGCTCTCTTTTTATCCGCCTTATTTGTTTTTTCTTTCTCCTCGGCGGTAGGGATAAAGCAGCAGGATAAAACCCTAAATTACCGCTACGGCTTGTTTTTAAAGGTCAAAAAATTGGAGGTGCGGGGAATCGAACCCCGTGCCTCTCGCATGCAAAGCGAGCGCTCTACCGTATGAGCTACACCCCCGATGTGTTTAATTAATCAAATATATTTTTATTAATTCAAAATATTTGATCGTACATATAAGTGAGTTGATTTATTTTGTTTTAGTGGAAATTGTAGTTAACTTAAAGTTAGTATATTAATGGAATGTTTCTTTCTATTTGATAAGATAATAAAATAGTATCTTTTCAATCCCTAATTTTCCTCATCTTATATTTTGATCCTATCCATAAGCTTTCGTATTCAAGGAAATATGACACTCTTCACTATCATACAATCCAATAGATATCAATCTTGATCCTATCCATAAGCTTTCGTATTCAAGGAAATATGACATTCTTCACTATCATATAATCCAATAGATATCAATCTAATATATCATCTTTATTTGATCGATACCAAAACCTCGGTCAATATTGTGCTAATAAGAAAGTTCACTTGACAAGTCAACTAGATATATTTAATCATGATCTCAAATCCGATAGTCTCATACCGCAATATAAAATAGCTATAGATATATATATATTTTTTATCTCTCATTCATAATGCAATTACACTTACATAAACTTAGCACTTGATCAAATCTTCCAACCAAAAAACTAAATTAAGTGTAAAAAAAACCTAATTTTATATGATTTTAGCTCAAATCCTATATTCACCTAAAATCATACCAACCCAACACAAACTTAGAAAAGAAATTAGTTAAATATGAATCAACATCCATATCGGATAATCAGAATATGATTTAGCAATGAGAGATTTGAATTTAGAAGAACAACTTTAAATAATCTTAATGTCAAACTTGATCTTTGATGTGATATATATCAAGATTTATCTGACTTAACTTATTTATAATACCACACCTATGAGACCCAAAGTCTACTTATATCAAGGTTGGTTTGACTTAACTCATTTGGACTTTTTTTTTAATGTAAATCTCAAAATTATGTTACATGAAGATATATATCAAGTTTACTTTGATGTTTAAGTTAATATGAAGCTTGAAATGAGAATTAAAAATTAGAAAAAACAAGTGGAATTCCTCCTATCCAGAGAGAGAGAGAGAGAGAGGCCTGAGGACCAGAAACAAAAGCATCGAAGAACATCAAATGGTGGTGCATGGATGACACTGGTGTTTTACATCGAAGGATAAGTAACTCACGTACAACATATTAGAATCATCTCTGCATCAATCCCCAGGCAAATACCACCTTTACAGTCTTCAACGTGCCACAGTGCTGCCATGCCTTCCATCATTCACCTGCGTGATGCCCCTCCCTCTCTCCTCTTCCCTACACTGTCTGTGATCACATCTTCCTCTCTCACGTTTTCATCTTCCAAATCCACTGACCAGTAGATGCCTGAAGCTTATTATGGTACCCACACACACACACACAGACACTCTCCCCCCCCTCTCTTGCTGGGTTCTCTTCCTCGCAGACGCCAGAGAGAAGGCTCGGAACCCAATGAAACGTCAAAGCTCACAAACCTAACTTTCGCTCCGCCATAAAGAAAAAGGGTCGCCTTCCGAGCTGGACCGTTTGTTGAACCACCTCGACCCGACGTGTAATTAGTTTCCTTTTGTTATCTTTTATATTTTCTTTCTTATATGCCTCGATATATTTCTTTTATTATTGAATACTTCAGGTGTAACAACTCGTATCGATCAATCGGTGCTTGCCACGTAGGTAGGAACGCGATCTTTGCTGGACCTGAGCGACATAAGATACCTCCTCTTACTTGAAATCTTTATCGATGACAACAAAAGCCGGACACCATGGACCACCGCTCGGCTTTCCATCAGTACCGTCCATCTGCACATGCCCTACGTACCATCGTCTGATCCTTCTCATGATTAGACCTTCATTTCCTTTGCTCTTTTCTATTAATTGGACCTTCTGTCTCTATCGTGCGACTGATGTAGAGCATATGTTTATGATTAATGTGATTGGATGAATACATCATCTTCATCTAATTTGATGTGATTAATCAAATAGATTATGCTGGTCGGGTCGAATCATACGTCTGTTGGCTGGCGAACCCTCGAGATGGCATCCTTGTGAGTTTAGCGGAGGAAGGCTCGTTGTACACCCACAAAAGCCAGCCTTCCACCTCCGGTCTCTGCTTTCTCTTCGTCTCAGATCTTTCTTCTTCGCTTCCTACGCAAACTTAGAAGAAGCCAAGGAAGATAGCGAGGGATGGGGAACGTAGAGACGACGCAAGCGTCGTCATCTCGCCGTGAAGTCAGCTCGGAAAACCGCCCCGCCACCATCGGTTGCATGTCCGGCATCTTCCGCCTGCTCTGCGTTCACCGTGACAGCTCCTCCCGCAAGCGTCTCACCTCCGGTAAACGCGCCGCCGTTGTGGCTCCCTCTTACCCTCCTAATGGCAATTCTAACTCGACGTTTAATCCTCGATAACGTTTAGGAAAGACGAAGGAGAAGCCTAGCGTCACAACTCCGTCAGGACCGACGGCACCTCCGCCCCCTCTAGTCGAAGATGGTGACAAGCAGACAGGGCCCTCGCGGTGCTCCTGCGAGACGCCGGGGAGCCCTATGATCCCGCAGGACATTCGAGAACCGGGCGCGGAAGCGGTCGTCGCTGCGTCCCCCGAAACCCCCCGCCGCCGACCGGCTCTGGTGGCCAGGCTGATGGGACTCGAGGACCTGCCGGACATCACGGTTTCTGTGACGCCGGAGGCGGCGGCGGACCAGCGGCGGGAGCTGCAGCGGGCTCTGGAGAAGTGCGACGAGGACCTCAGGGCCCTGAGGCGGATCATCGAGGCCGTCCGCTTGGCGGAGATCCAGGCGAAGGCGGTCTCCTCCTCCGTCAGATCGGCAGGGCTGATCAAATCGGACGGCCTGGATGCAAGAAAGGAGTGCGAAGGCGAGCAGCCGAGTCCCGTCTCGGTCCTCGACGCGATATCGTCGCCTCGGTATCGGTCAAAAAGATCACCGAATAGTAAGCATCAACCCACCTTTTTTACCGGCTACAGAAGCGTGCGTTTCGTTACATGGCACGCATCTCAATGCAGAGAAGAAGGAAACGACAGCCGTCGGATCCAGGATCGTGAAGCCATCACGTATGGGTTTCCTCTTCGTGGGTGAGCAAATCCAAAGACAAAGACGCCAACAGCCAAGACATTACGTCCATGGTCGAGCTACTGATGCCGAAGAGATCAACTGTGCAGGAGAGGGTTACAGACAAAAGCCACCGGACGCTGCCAAGTCGATCGAAGCGATGCCGTGGGTGGTCGAGCTAAAGGGGCGAGAGATCGTAAGGATGATCGGAGGCGTTCGACGAAAGTGCTGGAGGAGGAGGTGGAGGAGCGCTAGCCGGGAGATGGCAGAGTCAGTAGAAGAGGTGTGGGCGGACGTAGCGTGGGAGGAGGAGACTTGGGAGGTGGCGAGGGTAGGGGTGTGGATGGAGAGTGTAATATGGAGGGACTTGGTGGAGGAGCTGGTGGTGGAGTTCTTGGGGTGGTGTTGCAGGTTGTCACTTCCATTTGGGACTTGTAGGAAGAGATTATATTTTTAATTGTATGTTTGATAGATCTATGTAAATTTTAGAGGATTTAAATATATAATGTTGGCCACAGAAGCTTTATTTCAGTACAGCAAGTGCGGCACTCTTTGGAATATAAACAAATCAGAATACTTGACTTTTTGGATGAATTGCTGACAACAAAATACTGTGGTTCGTCACATTTCTAATGTAATTATAATCTGCTTTTTAGGGAATCAAATAATAAATAATGTAATTATATATATATATATAATAATTAATGTAATTATATATATATATATAATAATTAATGTAATTATATATATATATAATAATTAATGTAATTATATATATATATATATGTATATATATATATCGTAGTAATTTTTTTGGATGAATTTTCAAAAAATTCTTATTTTTTGAAATGTCTCGTAGAGCATCTTTACTTTGAAATTTTTTGAAATAATAAATTTTAAATTAACCTTAACAATAGTGCTCGTCCAAAGTTGATGGGATTGACGTATGTGGTGAAGGGGAGCGACTAGCCCTTATGCAAGAATGATAAGCAGAGAAAGATTGTGAGTGATAATATGTTCTTATATGAACAGTATAAAGCTGCCACAACATGACATAAGTGATGATGGGTATGATAAAAAAAAAAAATAAAGTGATCTTTTTATATGATCAAAGGTGTTGTTTGAAAAATTTTCAAGCAAGAACACTCTTGCAAGAAAATTTAAAATGTAGAGATTTTTTTTCAGGAATTTACTCATTTTTTGACATTATTTTTTTCCATTTAAATTTTTTTTAAGAAATAAAAAAAAATTATGGGTAAATTTTTGAAAAAAAAATTCATACTTTTTGAAATATCTAGTGTCTCTACTTTGAAAATTTTTGAAAGAATCCCCTTGGTCATGTTAAAAGATCATTTTACTCTTTTCACTAAATCCTCGTCACCTGCAACCCTCATACGAAGGTCTATCGTCATCTGCAACTACTCCTCTGTCATGTAAGACATCTCATCTTCCCTGTAACTCTTGCACGAGAACTAAGAGGTAAAATAATTATTTTAAAAAGAATATTATTTTATTTTTTTAAAATAGGAGCGTTTTGTGAAAAAAAAATTAGAAAGTAAGATTTTTTTCTATAAATTCGCCCGATAATTATTGGTGATTAAATTTTTTATTTTTTTTTCTTTGTATATAGTTGAAGGGCATATATACTTGTATTCGAATTCATAAGAATATATATGTCATTTCAAAACTCGGAAGGATAGATATGTAAAAATACCTTAACATAAAAGGCAGAGGGAGGGAGCAAACAGGATAACTCCTCCGAACTCGGGCACGAAGCGCTCGAGGCCTCTCGCTTCTTCCTCTGGATCTCGATCTATTTCGCCCGACGAAGAAGTCCCTCATTGTCTCTATCTTTGTTTGGATCGATCACCGTTGACTGGAGGAGACATGGCGGAGCAACTCACCGATGAGCAGATCTCGGAGTTCAAGGAGGCCTTCACCTTGTTCGACAAGGATGGCGATGGTCAGATCCCTCTTTCGATCGATTGATGTTTTCAAATCCCTATATCTTTTTGTTGGTTTTTCTCGATTGTTCTGAGACTTCTTAGGATCAGATCTCGATGCTTTCTTGATGAATCAATTGGATTGCTCGATTCTCCCATCTAGATATTTTTGTGTTGTGATCTGTGCTTTAGAATATCTTACGTGTCTGGGAATGACCCTTTCTTTTGATGGGTAGTCTCTCAGCTATTTGACAAGCGCTTGAGCACAATCTTAAATAATTTTCCTCTTCTTTTGATTTGAAATATGGTGCTTTTTAGATATATTGCCGTAGATGTCCTTTCAATAAATCCTGATCGTGTTGTCTGCGAAGCGTACTCACGATAGCACGTGGCTATCTCTCGTTGTATGGTAATCATTATCACTGTTCTACTGCTGTGCCGTTGATGACATAGATGGATGTGGATGTGTCTTGATTAGGCAGCATTGACTTCTTACATAGATGCTAGGATCTATACGGTCGCCTTTACTTTCATTAACCACCCTGTAAATAGCTATATCGACTGCTAATTGTTGGAAAAGTAGAACATATCATTATCGACAATACAAGTCTGGAATATCTATTTGCCTTTCACAGCATTCGATTTTATTTTCAATTTTTTTATATTTGAGAGGAGGTTAATAAACCATCTAACTGATTAACCGATCAGCTATAAATCAATTAATATTATTGTTGATAAATCAACTACTATTTTTGTTGAGGCATCTTAGTAGTTAGCATGTTGGTGTTCATATAATAGGTAATCTGTATATAACATATTATATATCATCCAATGAAATAGAAAATAATAGTTTTGAACTAATTAATTAGCCAATTGTGCAAGGCCGAACATCACTTTGGACTAATCAGTCTCAGTTTTTGCCATTCAAAGCTCTAGGGATGCTTTATATGAGGAAGCACACTTAATTAGTTGCAGAAAATCCAAAAGGTAGATATATGTTTGCCTGTAGACATCAAAGTTGTTGGAAAGTAGTATTCACTATGTTGGAATAAGCAGTTTTCTTTTTTAACCAGACAAATACTTCTGAAAATTCTTACTGTTAAACATGCCAGATTTTATTTATAACACAGTGCTTGTTAGGAAAAAAAAGAAGAAGCATATTTGTATATAAGAATATCTGAAAATCTGACACCAACATGAGCCATACTCTAATGACTTCATAACTTCTCATTATGTGTCTATCTTCTCTAACGACAGATGGTTGCCAGTAGCCTAGCAACCTGAAACTATGATTTAGTAAATGTTCATTTTTTATTAGAAAATGCTTCTGTTGATTGTTTGGTCTCGACCTGAACAGATTGAGAAACTTATAGTTGATGGATTTGGTATATATTTAACTATATTAGTGAATAATGTTCATAATATTTTCTTCGTGACCTGAGGTAATTGTGAAACTTGTAATTGATTTTGCATGATAAGCTTTTCACATGAATATGAATTTGATTATACTTGACAGTTTGAATTGGACAATCAAGAGGACAGTAATGTTATTTTGATGTAAGCAGTATTATGACATAAGCAGGATTAATTTTGAATTCTAAATCAGATTGCTGGATTTCTCCGATGAGGCAGACACGTGAAGAGAGTGGTCCATGAGCTTAATTGTTGATAACTGGAAGCAGTAGTTTTCTGCTCTCTTTATGATTGATTGTGTCCTTGTTTGTTGTCCACTCCGTGTGATCCATTGGCTTCCTGTTTCGAGAGCATCTCTTAAAAGACTTCTTGATTCTTTGGTAGGTTTTGGTTTTAGACATCTATTGCATACCTCCTGTAATTTTTGTTTGGGATTATAGTTCAAAGTGGAAAAAAGAAACTAATAGGTAATGGAAACCATTTGCTTATTCTGGACCACTCTGTATCCAATGGAAACAATTTGCATTCTTAGGGCTTAACCTTGCTTTTCAGTTGTGTACCTCAAGATAGATACACTTCTGATGGATGAGGAGTTCGACGAGATGATCCTCTAGGCCAATGTTGATGGTGATGGCCAGATTAATTACGAGGAATTTGTGAAGGTCATGATGGCAAAGTGAGTCCTTATAAGATTCAATAAATGCCAGATATAAAAAATCATTACACACAGAGTAGGAAACCCTTATCCTATTCGCACTTGAGTCAGTGTTTGTGTTTCATGACCGTCTGATCTTTGTTCTCGTTGACCTGTTGTTCATTTATTTCTGACTTCTCAGAAATCTATATATAGACCGATATGTACTTCATGTCTGTCATTATCTCAGCAGGTGTGCCCTTGAAACAATGAAGATGTCCTGTTGCTTGTCTCCATGCCCATATACTATCAAATACAAGCAATTCTTATCTCAGATCATGGCTCCTGAGTTCTAAGACATACTCAGTAAAACAAGGCACCTTGAATTACTTGCTCAGGTCTCACTATCCTCTGTATGACTCTGTGATGCTTCAGAAGACTCTGACCACCACCACATTATGAGAGCACCCAGATTGTTTATCTGTTCATCCTTGGATTGCCTCAGGTTTCTCCTAGCATAGCATGCAACATGAAGCGCTGCACTAAGCCTTTGAATGTATGCAACGTGCAGTCATGTCTTTAGGTGCTCGGAGGTGTTCTAAGACTGGAAGGATGTCTGTCATGTTAGGCCTGTTCTTGGGATCTACATGGAGGCACTGCAAGGCAAGAGCAGCAATTGTCTGGGCTTCCTTTTTCGAGTATCGACCCTCCAGTCTTGTGTCCATGATCCTCAACAGCTTCCTTTTGTCGTTCAGAAATGGCTTTGCCCAGTCTACCAGAGCCTCTTCTGTGGATCCCCTATCTTCATCCACTGCTCGCCTTCCTGATAACAGTTCTAACAACACGACTCCCAGGCTGTATATGTCACTCTTCACACTCAAGTGACCTGCAATATAAATATTTTACAGGTTTGAATGCAAGATAATCTGAAAAAGATTTTAAAATTGAATCAATTCTCATTTGTTTAAAAAAATTATTTGCAGGATCTGATGGCAGAGTTCAAGAAGGTGGCAAGAACTGCTTATCGTCAAAGGTAATTCAATCCCTGGCCCCTAGTTGACTTTCATTTAGTAGTTATATGAGCAAAGCTATTTTTCATACAGATGACTGTATTATTTCATCAAAAAATTCAGATGGTTATGTTAAAAGGGTACACAAGTATACTGCTTTTATATATTTTGGCATCATGAAATTATATTTCATCAAAACATTTCAACTTTTCTCATGGAAACACATGCATCATTTATAGCTTTAATAGGTTATAGACCTCAACAAAACTCTTGGTTTAGCAACACACACATTAGAAATACATGTCCAAAACTGTATGCAACAATGACCAGAGAATCGTGTTTCAGAATTTTGTTTGATTTGATAACAATGCAGAGTTAACATGTCCAACAAGGAGAAGCACATTATGGTTTTCGAGGAGGCCTTACCAGTAGCAATGTACTCTGGAGCAGCATAGCCGTGAGTTCCAACTACCCTAGTTGAAACATGACTCTTATCTCCGGTAGGGCCATTCCTAGCTAAGCCAAAATCTGACAGTTTAGCATTAAAATCCTGCAAGTAATTTAGATAGCTAAGATTCATCATGTCCTAAAATAAGAATACTAAATCAGCTGTGCTGGTTGTCCAAGCAGAAACTACCGAGTCAAGGAGAACATTTGAAGCCTTTAGATCACGGAATATGACTTGGGTTTTTAAGCTATGTAAGAACAACAATCCTTGAGCAATGTTGATGGCAATGCTCACTCTTGTTGACCAAGGAATAGGCTGTACCCCTCCTACACAGAACAAGCTACATTCATTAATCAGTACGGACCAAGAAGATCATTCAGATTATGAGTTTATCCATTGTAGTACTACTAAAACAGCATAGGGAATGAGTTAACTTGAACTAAGACTCATTAGACGTGTTGGATGCAGTTGGATTCAAGAAAATATTAAAAAAAAATCTCTAATGACAATTTTGGTCTATCTTTGAACTTGAGTCTTGATACCATGGAAGACAGAAGATGTTTGCTTGCTAGTTTCTTAATACTAATATTGTGGCGAAGCAAAAGAAACTAACAGAGGACCTGAAGCTAATGACAAAGTGCAAACATACTTTTGAATAAATGGTTCTCCAAGCTGCCTTTCTGCATGTACTCATAGACAAGAAGCTTGTTATCAGACTCTGAACAGTAGCCTATTAACTTAACTAGATTGTCATGGCGAAGCTGGCTCAAATAGGTCACTTCTGCCTGCAGACATAACAGTGAAAGTTAAGCTCACCTGGAACTTGAAAAGGCATAGAAGAACCTCTTGCCACTAGAAGGTGCAATGGTTACATACAAGCCATTCCTTGTGTCCTTGAAAGCTTTCTCGTTTGAGTTTCTTGATGGCAACGACCATGCCAATTCCTAGTCTAGTAGGGGCATAGGTATGCTCATCGATCCACCCTTTGAAGACGCAACCAAAGCCTCCCTCGCCTAGATATGAATTGGAGCTGAAATTTTTGGTGGCAGTCTTGAGATCATTCAAGCTGAAGGACTTCAGACTCACAGTAGCTGCTGCCTCACTTTTGAATGATGAAAAAGGACTTCGCAATCCTGTTGAAATTATCTTGGATGAGTTGTTCGAAATAAAATTACTTAGGATGGACTGTGGATTCTCTGGAGATTACATGTGAGTCATAGTTTCTTTCAATTTGAATGATCTTGGAGACAAAATTTCCATTTTATAAAGAGAAATTGGCTTTGAAAATCTGCAAGGCATTTGTGGCAAAATAAAAATGCAATAGAAGAATGCATAAATCTAACTATGTGGTGATAGACAGATCCATGAAGGTATATAAAGAATGAATTCCTAGTAACATTGTATAGGGTCATCATCAAACATTGATGTGTTCATCAGACAATCATGACTAAAATTGTTTTAAACAAAAAAAGCTCATTGTCGAAGTTCATCGCTTTTTCATTTCTTGCATTGGAAAAATAATTCAAATTATTAAACTGTTAACATTAACAATGGAATGGTGTTTAGCATGTTGATTACCTCAAAATTCTAAAATGTGTGACGAGAGAGAATACTGGAGTTGATTGAGAACATAGTCTCACCTAGACAGTTTAGATTTAGGTCGTAGTGGATTTAGCTGACATGTTGGTGCCCCGACTGGTTTGATGCACTCCCATAATAGAAATCTGCCCCCAGCATTCAGATACATAGACCTATGAGTATTTCTAATCTCTAGTTAATCTTTTTTCAGTTTCCTATTTCTTTGTTGATGCCTAAAAATCAAGGTCTAAGTAAACCGTGATGTTTATCTGCTTTCTATTAGGTCACATGTCCTTTTAAGATTGCATTCCTTTTGGGTACATGGAAAAGGAGAAGATAATGTCACAAGGAATTCCAGAAATTACAATATATAAGGTGATACAGGAGCTGAAAAGTGTTGCAATAGGTAATGCAATTTTCTTGCTGAAGAACTTGAACAAGATAAATGGATCACAAATGGTCTATTAGGAAATTTCATATCCCAGATTATCATCAGAAGCATACTTATGAATCTAATGTTGCATGCCTCATCAATCACATCCTTGTGTTTCTATAATTTAGTAACCTAGTGACAGAATTAGCTCGTGTCCTAAAAATCAAAGTGCGTTATTGTATGCATTCAATCATCTCCAAGGAACATGAAAGCCATATCAAACAGATGAATAAAGAAAATAACTAATGACAAGACATCGTAATTTCTTCTCTCAGTATGATTTGGAAATTTTCTTTTGAGCTTAGTCACCTGAATTTGTTCTTGATCTAACAAAAATCTCACACTTTACTATCCCATATCTATGCCCAGAGAAGCAGGCAGGTTGGGGAGTGCTTCGAACATGGGCTTCACACCTGCTGTACCTGGAAGCATTGCTACCCTGCGCAACTTCTCCCAGTATATAAGATTACATGTAACTCTATATCAGGTCTGCCCACAATCGTAAGCATCATCTACCACTCTCCCCCTCCCACCTTTGTCGCCTCTACTTAAACTTTTTCTTCTTGCAGTTTTCATTTCATAACTGATGAAAAGATTGCAGAAGAAGAAGAGGCAAACAAGCAAACTGAAAGCAAGCAGGGAGCAAAAAAAGCAGCAGGCAAGGAGAACACATATCTAAAGAAGCATTCCTCACTTGAAACACTAGGAGAAGAGGCGTTTGCGCATTTAGCAGAACCCCCGCAGAAATTCCCCATGAAAGAACAGCCACCAAGCCCTCGTCAGACGCACCGATCATAGCTAACCACATGTATATAAACAAAGGTGGGAAGGATAAGGATGAAGAATATCGTCTCCCGCGGCAGAGCTTGGTCACGCGTCTGATTGAGACAATCAAAATTTCCATTCTCTTGACCGGTTCAAGGCAGCCACGTGGTGATTTATGAGTTTGGGATATTGACATGCGTGCAAAAGGTTAAGCGTCAGGTCAACGACTTTGTCGGATCTCAGCCGCCGGATTGGAGCACATAACAAAGGTTGTGCTATTAATTTCAAATAATAGTTGGTGGATTTGATCTTACGCTGGAAAAGATTGCGACTAGACGGATATCTTCTTCTTGTGTGACTGTAAGGACCCCTCCAAAAAAAAAAGTCTAAGAAAAGGTGGGAAAATGAGAAAGGACTAAAGCTCAAATTTCTGCCGTGGTGAACCTGATTAAAAGTTGGGAGTCACTGGTTCTCGGTCATCAAGAAATCATTGGGATGTCACATGCCACATTTTAGATGAACTTGTTCTCCAAGGGGACAATTTTTAGAGGTTTGAAGTCCATTCTTCGAAGCTATGCGCATATGCCTCGTTTGAAGCATTGATATCAGTCTTTGGACTTAAATAGCATTATGAATTGTTATTTAGGAAGTGAATAAAATGTTATTGATTTCATCACAAAGCCAAAAAAATCTTAGAGAGACTTGGAAAGGGTAGATCATGTGTTATTTTTCCTTGCTACTAAAAAGGAGTTCCTTGTGCTTTACATGCAGCTTAGAAAAGGTGGATTTGCAGCAGATGAACCATCTAAGATCCTGGTATGCTATTTCTTTGTTGCCTTCGACTCCTAACAAATGCAAGTTTGACTTCATTTTATCCCTGGTGAAACAGTGCTCCAAACAGCTGAGAGATCATAGCCACTAGCACAACATTTCACGTCAGATTCTCCAAGTCAGCCCCACGCGACAAAGTCAATTCTTGTCTTTGCCTCATTATGAAGGCAATTATATGCAGAGAAGGAAAACAAAAGTGGCCACCGACAAATATTATTCAACGCATTGTACGACTCTGCCAGCATTTTCTAATTAATGGCGGAATTAGGCGCATCGCTTGCTATAGAAGACAAAGGTTGAGATTGAGACTGCACCAAAGGGAATCTAAGAGACAGCTTTTTTCCTCATGCTTGTCCATGATGATTGCTACTGCAACCTAAACTTCCCGCACATCGAGTTCTTCATGGATCGCATGCCAGGTCAGTATATCAGTGAATTAGTTTTCCCAAGTCAAATTTACTTCTGCTCAGCAGTGAAACAAAGGAGTTGCTTCCACAGAAGAAAACAGAGATAGATGGCATGAGAACTGAGAGGAGTTGGAAGATCCAAGGCCTGAGCACCAGAGAAATCATTGGGCCGCCCGATGAGTGAGCTGATACATGCGTACAATCGTATGCTAAGTAAACAAGACAAATTAGCATCACATAAGAGAGCTCCTTCTGTCTTGACTCGAACCGTCGTTGCCATGTGTGTGCATTTCTCATATGTTTAGGAGCTCCTGAGCTACTTAACCTCGTGAACAGCACTCACTATATATCACCAGTCTCGTAGACATGGCGACGTCGATATCCATGGTGCTTTCTTTTACCCTATGCTTGCTCCTCCTATATCATGCCTTTGGCTCCCAACTTGGCTTCGAACAAAGAGCAGGGCAACCGTTCGGAAGCCGCAGTCTACGCTAAAGCCCAGTCAACAAAGTCCACGACGGTTCGAGTCAACACAGAAGAGAGCTCTCTACCACACCCCCGGTTGAGGTCGTCGCTCCTTATTACCCTCCTAATGGCAATTCTAACTCGGCGTTTACTCCTCGACAACGTTCAGGAAAGACGAAGGAGAAGCCAAGCGTCTCAACTCCGGCGGAACCGCCGGCACCTCCGCCTCCTCCAGTCGAAGACGGCGGCAAGCGGACAGGGCGCCGCCTTTTAATGCCAACTGATAGACATCAAAACGACCAATGAATCTATAAGCAAATTTAACTTTGGATCCTTTGATAAGTTAAGCATCCCTTCGGATCTATCGTGGTTGAAGAAGTTGTCACTCCCCAACATCATCCTAATATAATTGATTTTAATTCAAATTAATTTTGATTTCGGTTTTCCTTTTCAAAGACTTCTAAAATTCCGTAATAATTCTTATAACTGTTAAAAAATTTCAGAATAAAGTAATCAAAGTTTCAAACATGCATAACAATTTAAATGTCACATAAACATGATTTATACAATCCTAAAACTATTTTTTTATGATATAAAATACTGATAAAACATTAACCTGGAATTAAAAATCCTTTTAATTTATGAAAATTTCACATAAAATCTATGAAATATGGAAGAATAAGATCAAATTAAATAGTCACTCGAACAAAATTTCTAGCCATTATTAATGTGAACAAATTTAAATATCTCAATTAATAATTTTAAAAAATTTCCAAAAAGGTTCCTTATAAATCTAAATGACTCTATGTATTATTTAATTATAAAACTATAAAATTTACGTGATAAAAAGAAAAGAGTAAGGGGATTTATGTCTCTCTATTCGGATCAAGATCTCGCTCTATCGTCGATGGACAATGAATGATACTTTAGTCGTCTTTATATAAGAGAGTGACCGAGAGATTCAATAGAATTAAAAATTCATCAAAATAATATTAAATTAATTTTTAATTAATAAACAAAAATTTGTTGCATCATCTTATGGTCAGATCCACTCACAAAGATTAAATATTCTAATTGAGATAAAATATTCTTTCATTCCTAATTAATTATAGATTTATTCTGAGTTTAGGATTTTTAATAGACTATAAAAGCACCAAAGGCAATCACAACAATTTCCTGATCTTTGGAGAACACAAAACAGAGGGCAGATCTAATATTGTTTACACCAATTCAAGCTCTGGAACTTGAGATTCTCTTTCAGGGAAAGAAACCATAGACAAGAATTGCAAGATTCTGAGCTGCTGGTGGTGGTTTTTAGGTGTTTGAAGATGATGATTCCTCTTTTTCTATGAACGAACTAACTACTGATTAGATCCGCAATGGCTGTTCGTTTTCCACTACATTCTCTCCTGTTCTTGATCTCAAAGCAGGGTAGCTGATGCTTTTCCAAAGCATCACTCCTTCCACCATGGCTCTTCACGAAGCAGTAAATCTTTCTCACCAACATGATGAGAGAACACAGGAAGCATGTGAGCACTTTATTTTTGTTCCGGTAAAGAAGACACTGATAGGAACTCGGGGACAAATGAGAAGGGACACCATAGTAAGAACGTGAGATGGGAAGTCTCAACAGTCTCTTTCCACCGAGATGATTTCGCTTTACAGCATCAGGATGAGCCTTGCCTTGTTTCTCACAACCAACTCAAGCTTCCCTTCTTCCTTTTCCCAAGTGCGAGCCCAGAAAAGAGGACAGTGACCACCACTTCAGGAACAGTCCTGGTTCCTCCGCCGCTGCGTCCACTCCTCTCGGTGGTCCATGCGTGTGTATGGTGCAGTGATGAGATTGTTCTGCAACTCGATGACTCTATTTCTTTCAGTTTGAGTTGCTCCAGCCAGAAGGTGTTGGAGAGAGCTGCAGTGATGCTGCCTGGGCTGGTCACGAGGATGTAATCATAGGGTTGAGCATCTCCAGGACTGCATCTGCTTTGCTGCATGACAATGGCTGTCCTTCAATTTGGGTGCAGTAATGGTAGAATTCATTCCCTGACTCCTCCTAGGATTGGATTCTGAGCAGCCGCACAACAACTTGAAAGATGTGATGGTCTAACCTTCCTCATCTGCAACCATCAAGTAGTTTTTGATGTGGAATCAAGGCACTAAATATTGGTGGACATGAGCTACAGACCTTCACATTTTCTTATCAATGGGACATGCATTTCTTTTCAGATATTTACCAAAAAAGGAAATTTTTACCTAATTATTACGTTTATAATATATATTTTGGATTTAAATTCATGAAGAATGATAATGAGTTTAAGCCAATATTAGTGGATCAAAGTAATCTTACCATTTTCATCAAAGCCCATCACATTAACCTAATCTGCCGCCGTCACTTGTACTGCTCCAAGCTTTTAAGAATCGAAGACTAATATGATGCACCCACTTTGTTACCCTCCATAAATGCCTCATGCCGGAACCGAAGTGACAGTTGTAGAAGGGTGCAATGATGGGTTCGTACGACACCTCGTGACTCTAGTACGCCGTATCGTTTCTCCGGTCTCCCGTTAGGCCCACTCGACGGCGCCGTTAACTCGCCCCTTTAATAATGGCACCGAGGAGGAACGGGCGTAACTAGAAATCGCGTCTCCGTGCGGTGAGGGAGGGAGCCATAAATTGCGAGCTTCTCCTCCGCGAACCCTACTTACTTCATTCGGCGGAATCACGTCCCGGGTCCCGAAATTGATCGCTGGATTCGCATCCTTTTCCTTCGGCTAGTCTCCGAGATCAGTTGGAGATTTGGTTTCGTTCGAGTGGTTTTGGATCTTCGCGGAAGTGGTTTTCCGGCCGAAGATTGGATTTTGGTGACGCTTCGGAGGTTGCAGTTTTGGGCGATTTTGAGGTAATTCCTGGGAAGCGTAGCTATGTTTCGTTCTTCAGTTCTTCTTGGATTTTGAGCCAGCGGTGAAGTGCCGAACTGGTTTGGTAAATCTTCGAGCAGATGTCTAATGTTGGTCCGTTCGGTTTAAAGGGATTTGATCTTTCCTGTAAAGAAAATAGCTGGTGATCTAATTTCCTGAGATGTGATCATTAGTTCTTTTATAAGAGCTATGCTTTTTATCCAAAACTCGATTTTTCAGCATCCAAAATTTAAATCTTATATATGCCACTAAATCTGAGAAAGGCTTCGTTTCATCATGTTGATTTTTGTGACAAAGTTCTTCTTTTGCGGCTGAAATTGATGGGATCTTGTTCGTCTTTGTTGTTCTGCAGATCATCGAAACGGTGAGCTTGGGGCCTTTTGGCTTCTTGGTAGTGTTATTCTTTCCTTTGTCCTGGTAGGGTAAAAAAAGCCCACCTTGCTTTCGTCTTCATTGAAAGCTTGGTATCTTAGTTGAACAGAAGGACATCCACAAGTAGATCTTGCTCGTGAGTGTCAGGAGCGAGAGAACATGCAGTCCGATCCCTCCCTCTACCGGGACCATTTCGACCGAATTCCCGACTCGCTGGTCCTCGTCATCTTCAACAAGCTCGCCGATATCCAGTCCCTGGGCCGCTCCTCGACCGTGTCAAAGCGCTTCAATGCCCTCGTCCCCCTGGTTCACGATGTGTTTGTTAAGCTCGACCGTTTCGTGTCCGTCGACGGCGAATCTGACGACGCCTTGAGCCTGTCTTCCCCTAAGCCGAGAAACCTTTTCGCCCATCTCCTGAGGCTATTGCTATTTGCCTTTCTCAGGCCCTTCCAGAACCTTCAGAACATTAACGATGGAAATAAGCCTCTTTTGCCCCAACTCTCCCGTCACTCCCCTGCTCGAGTCCTCAAGAATTTTACCCATGTCCGCAACCTGAGGATCGAGCTCCCTGCCGGTGATGTTGGAACGGAGGATGGGGTCTTCTTAAAGTGGACAGCGGAGTTTGGAAGCACACTTCAGAACTGCGTGATTTTGGGTGGAACCAGGATGGAACGTAGACCTGCTTCGGCCAATCTAGAAGGGTCAGTGGAAGACAATGGGAGCATACCAGAGTCATTCTATACGAATGGAGGGCTAAAGTTGCGAGTTGTTTGGACTATCAGCTCTTTGATCGCTGCATCCACAAGGCACTATCTTCTTCGTCAGATAATTAATGATCACCCAACATTGAGAAGCTTGGTCTTGACAGATGCCGATGGTCAGGGGACATTGATCATGGGAGCAGAGCAGCTGAAAGAGTTCAGGGAGAAGCCATTAGCAGCCTCACTGTCATCAAATAGGACGCAGGTGCCGGCATCAAACATGAAGCTGAGATATGCTCCATACTTGGAGCTAGCGGAGGGAATGGGAATGCAGGGAGTTACACTAGTGGCTATCAAGCCTGCAGGAGAGGGCACTAGCTGTGGCAATAGTAGCAGGAAGGAAGCTGAAGCATTTATTTGTGGGGCATTCGATGGACCATTTCGGGCTGCAGTCAAGGCGTTAGTGAAGCGGCGAACTTACCTCTTAGAGATGAATGGTTTCTAGATCAACTCAGCCTCTTTGCCTTAGTTCTCTTCTTATGGCCTGCAATGGTTCATTTTGTTTGTTTACATGGAACCAGTTGTGGAGTGCCATTACTACAGGAATGAGGTCTCGGTGTATATGCAGTAGCTATCAAAATTTTCATCTCTCCTTGCATTTCTGTACAGTAAGAGTGTATGGCTTTATTTATTTTCTTTTATAGTGTGTAAAATGGAGCATCAGTTGTGAAAATTCTCATCTCAACAATGCGTTTGTTGTAGTTTTGGCTTGTTATGTGATGCCTCAGAAAATAATTCTATTATGTGCATGTACTATATTTGGAGATAGGATGAGCCACTACTCAACCGAAACTATATCGTACTGCTCTTGGTTCATGCACATGTAGTTATGAAAAGAACACTTTTATGCTAGTTATGATAGTTTTACATAGTATTTTTCTGCTTCATCTTGGGATGTCATATGTTATTGTGAAGCAATTTCTTAGCCACTTCCGAAGTGCAACAGTTTCAACTTCCCTGAAGTACTTCCACTTTTGTTAGAGCATCTGCTTCATTTGCTTGAGTTGCGATCTTTTTTATTTTTATTACTGTGCTTTGAATTCTCTCTTCATTTTTGCTCTGAAGACATCTCGATCTTTATAGCTAATCAGGAAAACTGAAGTTGGAAATATTTTGCTTATGGCAGTTGCTTCGCAGACCTTGTTCTACATGGATTAATCATATTTAGCTCCCACTTGAGACATGTTTTTTCTTAGAGAAGTAAAAGCTCTTAAAGGGGATGAATGACACTCAAAACTTCTTGACAATCCACTCGAGAGCTTGGTAAGCATTCAACATATCCTTTTGTGAAATTATGGGTTTTAGGTTCATTCCACACATCTTCCAACCTCATTCTGCACCACAGCTGGAATTTTGTGGATAACTTATTGTTTCCTGTGTTTTTCACATGGTTTGACAATTTAAACAATCTTTAGAGTTTAGACAGCAATGCATGGCTTGATTCCAATAATGTGACTTAGTGTGTGTTCCTTGACAAAAGACTAGGACTATAACCATAGTTTATGCATTAACCAGTACATAATCTAATTACTTATTTAGCATTTGTTGAACATCTAGAGCTAAACAAGCCTCCTTAACTGTGGACATTACGAAGATGGTGTAGAATATGAAAATATGTAGAGTCTACACACTAACATTCATGTAGTACAGTTTCATTATGAATGCATTCACATACGCATTTCAATCTTCTATTTGGAGTCAGTTGCTAACACTATTTGAGGATAATCTAGGAACATTACAATAGTAGAGATGACTGCTACTACTCTGATGTGCATAATAAAGATACTGCTTAACTCTATTTATCGAGGCATTTATTGGCTAATGCATGTCATGTCACATGCAGTAGACACTGATAATTTGTGAGTCATGAAAAGGATGTGATTGAGAAAGTAAAGAGAAAAAACAAACAAAGATGATCCTTTCTTTATATCTGAGCTTATGTGTCACCCTTATCTGCCTGCAGTGGAGGTAGATGGGCACACCCTTCCTATTTCTTTGAAATTGTGGGGAGTAGGCCACACCCTTTCTATTTCTTCTGTAATTACTGATTTCCTATTTGTGTAGTTGATCTGATTAAAGTGATTAAGTTCATAAACTTGATTAGTTTAACTAGCAGATGAAGATTTACTAACCTGGATCAGATTTATATTGGATCATATGTATATATATATATGTATATGTATATACATATGTATATGTATATACATATGTATATGTATATGTATATATATGTTTGGGTAGGTCAAGGAAACATATGTTTGATGCAGACTGACAAGACAAGATCCTCTGGACATAGAACTTAATTCTGTGTACTTAAATTGTAAACCGAAACTGGTCAGTTTGGGATGACCCAGTAGATGGGAATTAATCTTCCTGGTAGATGAGAAGTTACTGAAGTATTCATGAAGTCAACTACCAAACAGCAAATACTTGTGAAGCCCCATAATGAGATCTCTTACTCTGTTGATGCTTATTTTCTTCCAAAGATGACATGATCAGTATCAAACAAGTTCATTTCTTTTGTTCAGTAGTCTACAAGGATTTAAATCATGTTGTGGCTTGTTAATCATGCTGCTACTATGTTCTTTTTTCGGATCTTTAATCTGCAAACTCAAATCCATGGTTGTGTATGCCCTATAATTTTACTGACTTAATCATCAGCTATTTTTACGTAGAGAATAAATGCTCAGATCTTATGTTACCTTCATTTCTGGAGCAATTTACAGTAATGACTCGATCCTCTCCTCATCTTTCAGGCCATGGGTTGCTCCTTGGTTGCGCAGGTGAATCGATGAGGACAGAGCAGCCCATGCATATGATCAGTTCTGCATCCATACATGGATGGATGGCGCTCTCCCAGCTCTCCGTCTCCATCCACATCTGGGGAAGACGAGAACAAGTGCATCAGGATAAGATGCAGACCACAGTAGCAGCTTAAATTGCTTATCATTTTGGGGTAGCAGACGAGTACCGTAGGCCATGTTACCAGTGTAGAAGATGCAAGCAATGCTGCTGCAGAGGAGGGCCCTCGTTTCGGTTGGTGCCCGGACATTGTTTGATGTAGCATTGATGGCACTTCCATTCCTGTTTGTCCGATACTACTATTCAATGTAGAGAGATGGGGTCGGGTGTGTGTAATAAACACGCAACTTTGTGTTATTCCTTACTCTGGGAAAGATTACATCTCTCTCATTGCTGGTCTTCTTCATGAGAAACGAAGGCAGAAACTTAGCTGATGGTATGGTCCCTTCAACCCATTATTATCATCCGACCACGCGGAAGTTGTCATCGAGTTTGCGAGTTCGCTCGTGCTGAAGAGGCTTGAAGTCGACTGAGATTAATTTCTCCGGGTAATTACTGCACGAGCACTGCTACGGCAGTGGTATGGGATGCCGCCGCACCTGTTTCCTCTGTTGCACCGAGTGCAGAGACCGATCCGTGTTTGTCTTGTTGCATATGAACGTTTTGTGCGGCAGCCTCTGTTGCTCCTAAACGAAGAAAGAATCATCTGCAACATCATGGCGATGATCTCTGGGTTATTATCTTTCACATTGAATGCACTTTGCAGGAAATCAAATATATACGGAGATGAGGCACATGAAATGATAATTATGAAAAGAAAAAAGAAATCCTCTGAACAATCATTACTGAACATAAAATGAGAATGGAATCCAAACATTGAATATGCTACTCTTAAGCACCTCAAAATAGATAGAGAATCGGATACGCTACATCATTCTTTTCGGGCATATAGTGTTTGTTATCTCAACACAATATCTAGCAAGGATGATATTTACAAAGAATAATGTCAACTTTCAGATGTTGACATTAGGTTCTTATTCAAGCAAACCCACCATCTACACCGAAACAGTCCGAGTTTTCACACCAATTTTCTTCCACGAAACGGTGGGCATTATCTGTGCTGGATCAACCTGGTCCTTGAATTTGATGGCGAAATTAAGTAGTGAATCCAAGAGCGATTCGGAGAGCAGGTGTGGTCGGAGACCCAGTTCAATGAGTTTGGTGTGTTTGGCATTGTAGTAGTGCTCTTCTGCTTCCACACGCGGGTTTGGCACGGATATGGTCTGCACATCCAGTCCTAGCTTCTTCCCGGCGGTCGTGACCAACCTGGCAAGGTCATTAACAGAAAATTGCTCCGTGAACTGGTTAAACACCCGGAATTCACCTGGCTTGGCTGGATTAGCGACAGCCAACTCAACACACTGCACTGTGTCCCTGATATCTAGATATCCCCGTGTCTGAAAAGTGAAAGAAAAGCTAAATGAGTAATGATTTGGGACCACAGAGAGCACCAGAAAATGTAAAACAAATTGCAGTTAATCCAATGGCTGTGTGTGATGTTAGTCTGATAAATACAAGTTTGGACTACTTGCTAACACCTATTATTTGTCATCTATGAGCTATCAATTTTCTCCATAAAGTATTGCATTTGAGGCTGCAAAAAAGGACCAGCTGATACCTTTATATGCAATATTTAATGGTAATAATCAGAGAAACAAACATAGAAACAAAATATCCACTTCAAGAGTTGGTAAATATTCACTTGTATGATAACAATCATAACAGAAATGATGGAAATATGTTTATCTTACCTGACCACCCTTGCCATATACAGTAAGTGGGTGTCCAACTGCTGCCTGCACACAAAACCTATTCAGTGCTGTCCCAAACACACCATCATAGTCAAACCTGTTGCAAAGCTCTTCATGCATGTCAGTTTCATCTGTCCTAACTCCATAAACAACACCCTGGTTTAAATCTGTAGCCCTGATCCCCCAAGCCTTGCATGTAAAAGCAATATTATGTGAATCATGCACCTTACTCAGGTGGTAAAAGGAGCTTGCTTGCTTCGGATAAGGTAATGTATCTGTTCTTCCATTGTGTGTTATGGTTATGTAACCTTCCTCGATATCAATATTTGGAGTTCCATACTCTCCCATTGTCCCAAGCTTCACTAGGTGACACTCCTGGCTAAATTCCTTAATAGCAAAGAGGACATTGAGTGTACCAATCACATTGTTATGCTGTGTATACACAGCTCTTGACCGATCTATCATGGAATAAGGTGCAGATCGTTGCTCACCAAAATGGACTACAGAATCAGGTTCAAAAGATTTAAAGGCTTCGGAGAGGAATTCAAAGTCACATATGTCACCAATAAAGAGCTGGATTGATTTTCCAGTGACAGATTTCCAACGCCGAACACGATTCTGGATGGAAGATATTGGGGTAAGGGAGTCAATCCCAAGCTGGTGATCAAATAGGCGACGGACAAGGTTATCAACTATAGCCACCTCATAACCTTTGTTGGAGAGGTGAAGAGCGGTTGCCCAACCACAATAGCCATCACCACCAATAATCATTACCTTCTTGGATTTGGCGGATGATTCACTAGAACTTTGGGGTGACCCAGTCAACGTACTTTTCTCAATTTCTTGGCTCATAGGGGTAGCAGTAGCATAAATAATTGACTGTCTCCGTGGTCTCAGCTTACATGGCCGAAGGACTGTCCCTGGATATTTGCAGGTTTGTAATGGAACAGAATTGTAGAAGACGGCCGAACATGTATTATTGTTTTTAAGATAGGTTTTGGTTGTGAGACAGGAATTTATGCTGCAACAGGGTAAGATAGAATGTGCCATGGGAATGCCACTGCTTTCTTCCTAGTATGGAGAAGATTTTGTAACCAGAAAACCTGCAAATACAAGTTGGTCCCAGCACAAGTACGGTTAACTATCATCCAGCACATGTAAGTTTCAATTGTTCTCTGACAAACAGCTTCATTTGATGCATATATTTATGCCATGATACCTTAACTTGTGAAGCAAGGTCATAAAATAGCAATAAGCAGTTAAAGCAACACTCTGCCATTTGGTAATAACTAATAAAATAATGGAGAACTATAACATGAGAAACAAGTAAGACAGGTATATATGTGTGCAGCACCTTTGTCAAATTGAATGATACGATGAGACATATTATAGAAATGAACATTGAGTGAACTTATGAAGAAACAGTTCCATGAGACATCATGAACAAAAGCCTGTACGCAAACAAAGGCCTATGCAATTCATGCCATCGATACATCACAAACCGCCTGGTGGCAATGAAAATCATAGAAGTGAAAATATTACTAAGCAGAGCCCACTGAAGCCTATAAAAACAGATGGGGGGCAAAAAACAAGTTGGGAGGTCTTCTTCACATCAAACAGGATCTAGCTGTTCCTATCTGTATATCTTCTCTAATGCTATAATGATCAAGCTGATCACACATCTCCCCACAGTATCTCATATTAGTGTTACTGTATTTTTTCTATAAAAAATAGAACAATGTTACTTTTTGGATACATATACCAAGGTTGATGGGCTCAAACATATGGCCATATGGTAAAACTGAAAATACTTGTTCTCATAATATAGTTAGCATTTAAGTGATCATCATTATGTATTTGATCACTTATACACGACAGGATTCTCAGTTCCGTTGCATTTTTACAAAAAAAAAAAACCTTTACGTAGAAATAGTACCACATCAAAATAAATCAATGTAGATTGCCTCTTTGGTACTCCTCAAGATCCTTGTTGGAGCGAAAAGTTGCTTGGATGAACTCAAGAAACATTTATATCTTACAATCATATAGATTAACGCACACTATTAACGGCAACACAAAAGATCCACGTACTCTCCCCCAAGTAGTTGGGATAGTTGTGACTATAGGGATTTGTTGTTGTTGTTGTTGTATACAAATTAATACATATTAAACCTCTTTTATACCCCTCAAGGTTCTTGTTGAAACTTAAAAGATTGCTTAAATGAACTCATGAGTTAACTATAATTTACTACCATATTAACTGTATTGCATGCAAACACTTATTTCACCAAACTGTTAGTTGTTTTTACTCAAAAATATAATTGGGCCACCCATATTAAGCTTGATTATGCAATTAACTAACTACAAGCATAGAGCTAACTGGTTCTTTTTCCATCTACACATTAGGGGTGACCACGGTTTGGTTCAAACCGTAATTGAACTGGAACCAAACGAGGTCAATGGTTTGGCCGATTCGGACCCAGGGAAAGGTTCGGTTCTAGTTCATAGAAATTGGAACCATCGGTTCCAATTCCAAACTGGCTAAATATGAAAGAAAGAAAAAAAAAAACACAAATAGGATCTACAATATAGTGGTTAATACCTTAGATTTAAAGCCTATTGACCTAGGTTTGAATCTTAGTTACTTTAGTCTAAATCGACAGTTTTGGTTCCAGAACCGCTGTCACCCTTATGCACCATAACAATAAGGATATGCTGATATAGGTAGGACATGCGGTGAGCAAACAAACTCCAAGTCCTCCTCCAGAGAGAAGCAATTTCGGAGGTTGATATCAAAGACACACAAGCCACGCTGCTCATGAAGATATAATCTTCATCTATGCAGCCTCTTCACCGCCATGAATATTGGGAAACCATTGCCCATCCGACCATCCAGAACTGGTAAGTCTTTGCAGAGCAACACAATCACTCAAAAGATTACAACCTTTTATGTTACAATCCAATGGAAGGTTCTCATAACAACAACAAAACACCGAACCTCGCCACTCCGTCCGAAAAGCTCCGAAAATATCAGCAACTTTTACCGATTTAGCTCAGATAACGAGGTGAAAAGAAAAAAAAACAAGACAAAAACCCAACGCAAAATTACAGGAAAAAGGAGAAGGAGAACGAGAAGGGAGTACCCAACGGAGGTTACATAGAAACTTTTGTCTAGGGTTTACGAACCAAAATAAGAACCGATGAACAGCATAGTAAAAATCTTACCTTTTTCCTCGTGCAGTCGATCTCGCCTACGGTTCCGTCAGAAGGGAAAAGACAATAAATGTAAAGAAATTTCACGGATCAGAAGTGAGCAGGAGACGGTCTGAGAGCTTTGAGAAACTAAAAGATAGGGAGAGGAAGGAGAATATATTGGCGGATATTCCCTGCTCCCACAATAATAACACAAAATGTTGGCTGCGGAAACAACAAGATTGATAGAATCTGGACGGTCGGATCCCGAGATCAGGTCATCCCCGTGATAAGGAATCACAACCGATCAAATCGGTTCACGGGACCCAAATTTTTCTTCGACTGGTTGGTTGATGCACTCCAGCTGTTTGACAAAACTCCTTCCTTACAGTAACATCCATTGTTTGATCGCAGAGTATACACCACTTGTTGTTTCTGCATCTGTACAAAATGAGCTCCATAACCTGAATCTTGTGCTACCTTTTTAGCAACTTGCTTGCACAGACTGGCGTCTTGATACTGCTATAGACCCTTCTTCTTCTTCTTCTTCTTCTTCTTCCCTTGGTTGAGAGTTGTCTGACCTTGCCAGGATGATTTCGTTTGTGCCAGCAACATATACAAGCACATCCTATGATCCTGCATACGAAAAGTTTACAGTCAAATACCATTATAATATAAAGGTAATAGCTCTAGCATTCAGGAAAGTAGCAGCATCTGAACAACAACATCATGTTTGCATGGACAAAATGAAAGCTCTCAGTGTCACATTTGTCACTGTTCAGGTAATGTGCAACTTGCAATGAGTAGAGTGCATTGGTGACCAAAGGGAGAGTCGATCAGCTTCAACCATCAAGTGAATATTGTACTGGTTTTTGTGTTCATGGTGATAGGTGGTGCATTTATTTTGACAAAATGATACAATCCATTGCATAAGACCTTATTAGTATCGGTAAATATTACATAGGTTTGTTTCTTATTGTTTATTATCTTCTTCAATTAACTATCGGACATTATAATTGATCATCTAGTTTGACCTAAAATTATTAGATAAATATAATTGACACGGTAATCTAAAAAGGATGAATTAAAAAAAAAATAGTTTAGAAATTTTTTCGCTTCAACTTTTATAAATTCTCGTATCCATTCTTACGTGAAAAAAATTATGATGACGAAATCAAAGGTTTTCCGTATTATGGGAAAAAATAATGAAGGTGAGATATACAGGAGCAAATTCGACAGGTCGCAAAGGTGAAAACAATGATATTAGGTATACGCGATGGTTGATAGAGATAATATTATTATAAAAAACAGATCGAAATTTTTAGATGTTGGGAGTTAACTAAAAATATTTCAAAAAATAAAAACTTTTTCCAGCAATTCGCTCATACAAAAAATGCAAATTATTTCATTTAATTTAATTTCAACCCCGAAAATGCTGGTTTGGTGTAACGTGTTCTGTGACGTATTAAGAAAGAATGCCATGACCCGACTTACAATACGACGGAAGGATGTGGCGTCCAATGAACGCACCGCCCCCTGCCACATCGCCAGTCGTTGCCTAAGTCGCGAGTAGAGAAGTGGGTTTCAGTGTGTTGACGAGACTGCTTCTCCTTTCCCTATTTATTACGACCCTCTCGCCTTTTCTTCTGTTCTCACGCGGAAGAGAAGGCGAAGAGGCGACCTGTCTCGCTCCTTTCAATCTTTCGGCCCCCCCTCCGCCTACCGCCCCGTCAAGATCTACAGGTAATCCCGATCCCTCCTCGGATCTAGAAGATCGCATCGGCGATCGATTAGCGTCCTCTCGAATTGGGAGTCTCCTTCAGTTTCTGCTGTGGATTTTAGGTCTGTCGATAGATTTCTCTTTTTGGGGATTTCGGACCGGAAACCTGTATGTTAGATCTTGGAATTTTGTGCTCACTTAATGTCTGGATCTCTTATTTTGTTGGTTAATTTGTACAAATCCAACGCCATGCTTATTCCTGCTCAGATCCGTGGTTTCTTCTGTGGATCTTTTTTTTTTTTTGGGGTACGTGATCGATCTTTATGTTTGGCATCTGATAGCGTAGGGGACGATGGGGCTCACGTTTGGGAAGCTTTTTAGCCGCTTGTTTGCGAAGAAGGAGATGAGGATTCTGATGGTCGGGCTTGATGCTGCCGGTAAGACCACCATCCTTTACAAGCTCAAGCTCGGAGAGATCGTCACCACCATTCCCACCATCGGTGAGTATTGGTCGCCTTCCCAAATGGGCTGTTCTCCTTAATATTGTGTTCTGGAATCCGATGATTCTTTTTGATATTCTTTGTGATGGCTGCTGGATTTGTTGGAGAGCAGTGCTTTTTGTTTCACGTTTCGGTGGTGAATTGGTGATCGTGCTTTACCTTAACTATTTGATTAACTTGATGTGGACCTGTTTTGTAATAGGTGGTCATGAACATTAATTGTTTTGTTCTAGTAATGATAATTATGTTTCTATTTGCTCTAGAACATAGTTATAACTTTCTATGCAATCATATTGCTAATGAGTGCAAGAATTTGAGTGGAACAGTTTCGACACAGATTTCATGATATTGCTGTCTATTGCACCTATCGAGATGACCTTCTTCGTATGGAAAATGTTCTCAAGGAAGATGATATAGGACACTAGCAACTTGGACCATGATTCCTATGCATGATTTATCTCCAACTTGGACACTAGCAACATGGTTGTCTCTTTAACTGCTACCATGAAAGTGATGGTTTACAATGAACCTTCTGTTTATTTATTGCTTTTGTCTCACTGCTTATAGTTGACAAATGTTGTAGGGGGCACTCATTGGATATAGTTTAGAGCATACATTCAATACAGTGATAGTGTTAACAATTCTATCATCTGGAGCTTTTCGGTCATGTTTTTCCATACTGGAAAATTAAATAAGTTTAGTACTTTAATTTCATTTTTTTCTTGTTTAAACTTGACATGCTTTCTTTGCATATCTTTTCCTCCAATACTCATGGAGATTTTCTAAAAATTGATGATCAATTTTATGAGGCTTCCCATGGCGATGATCATGTTCGTTCAAATTGTGCTTTTAACTTGTACATGGGTGGTTAGGTTAGTTTGGCACTATGCATGACTCTTGTCCCATTGCCGGTTGAAACATGATTTTTGTAAAAAAAATTATGAATTTACTTCGAAGGGTTGTTGGTCTTTCAAAGCAGTTGTCAATATGTCCTTATAGGATTACAATTCTTATGATAATTCTCTAAATTGTTATGGTGTGTTCTAATGCAGGATTCAATGTGGAGACTGTCGAGTACAAAAACATTAGCTTCACCGTATGGGATGTTGGTGGTCAGGATAAGGTAATCCTGTGGTTATGCTAGTGAACTTTTTAATTTTCCAAGTTGTCTACAGTAAAATTATTGTTTTGTATAGCTGATTGAACATTTGGGCACTCTAAGAACACATCTTAAAAAGTTGCATTGCATATCAGATGCTTTATGTGCAGATATGGCTTCATTACATCAGTATGTTAGTCTGCTAATAACTAATTATCTTGTTTCGCTATTTCTAAATACCTTTGTTCTGGTGATCTTGTTGTCTGCAAGAACAGATCAGACCACTATGGAGGCATTACTTCCAGAACACGCAAGGCCTTATTTTTGTTGTTGACAGCAATGACCGAGATCGTATTGTTGAGGCCAGGGATGAACTCCACAGGATGCTGAATGAGGTAACCTCTTTCAGAAATAACACTTGTTGTATCAAAATTTTAGTAAAAATTATGTTCTTGCACATGATTTTTTTACACACACCCACAAAACATAGCTTAAATGATTATCAAGTGGGTGAAATAATTGTGATTACCTAGAGTACAGCCATCCAAATTGGTGATGTGCCACAAAAAAATATTCCATGCATATGCTTATGGAATATGTTGTGTTTTGAGACTTGATCAGAAAATATATGTATGCATCACATAAATAAAGGAAAAGCTAGAGTTGATCGTTTTTTTGGGTGTAAGTTGTATGAGGCGGAAGTTCATCAGATAAAATAATTCAGTAGATATGTCTTCTGAACAATTCATTGAATCATGCCTCTTCTCATTAAAATAATTTGCTCAGGATTACTGCTGAACATAAAACAGAACTGAAAGTTCACATATGCCTTGTTGTGTTTCATAATAATACACTTGAACTTGACTTTTAATTGTATTTTTCACATTAAAATCCAATGGAATAATGAAGTACCGACATGTGATGTTGGTGCTGCAATGGGATGTGAAATTGAAGTAAAATTCATGTCATTATAATCATTATACTGATGTAACTGGAACTGATGATTGCAATCCTGATTTGAAGGTTTTTGGTATCAACTTTTCTATATTCGGATGACATTTGAAACCGTTGTTTATTTACTATGATTAACTGTTTCATCTGTTTTCCCTATGTATTCTGGCATTGGTAGGATGAGTTAAGGGATGCTGTCTTGCTTGTGTTTGCGAACAAACAAGACCTTCCAAATGCAATGAATGCTGCTGAAATCACTGATAAGCTTGGTCTGCATTCCTTGCGCCAGCGACACTGGTAAGATATTTGATTGACAAACTAATACTTCTTTACTGGTCATCTGCTATAGTCAAGTAAATACTCAGATTTTTTAAGAACTATTTTGTGGCGTCGTAACCTTTTTCTTAAGCAGGTTATAAATACAATAAGAGATTCTTTGCATGATCATTTAAGCTTATGCATAATTAGAAGTATAATTGGATTTTCTGGAAGGAAAATGAGTAGATCATGTATATATTTGATGGTTACATTGATTAACTTGACATTGTATAACCTAATGTTATTTTTGTACTTTTTTTGTAAAGGGCCCTTGATTTGCACTGATTCATCCTTTCCAACATTTTAAAAAGTGGGTTCGGAATAACTTTTCAGAGAACCTTGATAGGCAAAATATAAATGGGAGAATTTATTAAATAGAAAGTTACTAAATATAAAAATGGAAAGAGAAAACTATTGCTGTTTAGATGTTGTAACTAATGAAAGGGGCTGATTGTCAGCCAGATAAGCTGATCTAAGCTCGTCATGGAATGCAGATTGGTGATCTCCTTAAAATTGGCCCTAATCAATAGTAGCAGTTGCTGATGTTTGTCTCCTTAAAATTGGTGATCTCCTTTTCAGTAGATTGCTATTGCTTTACTGATTATGACCATGCATTATCATTCTAATTTTTTTTACATGGTCTTAACTATCTAAAAGAGTGTGATTATTTTCTTTGATTTCTGAAACGTCTGTTGGTTTTCTCTTCTAAGATGTTACTTTTATCAGCTCTCTTTTCATAGTTTACGCCACAAAAGAGCCAAGAAATTCAATTACTAGTTGGTTGAGCTTGGCTTGCTTAGTTTAGGATCCTCAAGCTTGGCATTCTTTGATCCCCATGTTTGAAATCAGATTTGTGCTAGTTTTAATTGATCCCAGCTAAAGTGCAGTTTGTATTCCAGACAGATTAGCGCAAGCTACTTAGTGGCTTCACTTGGCCATTTGTTGCTCCCCAGTTTGATCATTTGTCTTCTTTCTCATGGATCTAGATCCGGCATGCATCCCTGTCTTTCTCCTTGTGTACTTAATCCAATGAACTTGTCAAGCTCCAAGTTAATATTATTTTTCTTCTCTTAGATTATTTAGTTCACTTTCCAACTTTTAGATCATGCCAAAAGTATTGATCCATTCAAATCCCATGCTTTCTGAAGCTGGAGAACATGTCTTGTTTGTTTCTGAATGTCATGAACACAAGTCCTTTTTTTTTGTTTGCCATATCTTCATGTTTGGCCTTGCAAGGTCAGAGTGACACATGGTTCAGCCCTACTTTTGGATAAGGTAGTATGGGAGAGGGGCAATTCACTCAAAGCTTTACATTTGGTGAAATACAATGGGAATAATGCATTTCATTTTATTTTCTAAAACTTGCTTTATCTTGCATACTTTTGACTGCCAATCCTCAGCCTGTAATCTTTGCTGATTGGACGAGCTCCATCTCGATTTCTTATAGTATCTTTGGCATCATTTGCTGTACATATGTGTCCATGCATGTGTGTGCGGAGCACCTATTTTATCTCTATTGATGGAAGTCTGGAAAACTGCTATGGTCTGGCTGTGATTTTCAGTTCTGATTGTGTCTCTACACATCAGTCGTGCTATGTTGCCCATTTTTATTTGGAGGTAGTGTTTCAACTATCATGGTTGGTGATTGTTAAGAGAAGTTTTGATATCCTTTCCGAAACCTCTCTTATATACTATCTTGTTAAATTTGTTTGTGTTGAATTGGATTTCCTGGTCACTCCATTTATGCCACCCTTTCTTTTTGTTGTTGATCTAACTGATGATTGATTAAAATATTGAAGGATGTCATAGTTCTGACTAGCCTTTGTGCACTTATAATTCTCAGGTATATCCAGAGCACTTGTGCTACATCTGGTGAGGGCTTGTACGAGGGACTTGATTGGCTCTCCAGTAACATAGCCAGCAAGGTACACTTTTTTTTTTTCCTGTTCACCCTAATAATGTCTCTCAAGTCCACAAGAGTGCCAATTGAATCGTTCTTATATTATTATGGCAAAATGGGAGAGGAATATCCATTTCATCAATTAAGTTGCAAGCATATTTAAACAATAGATGCTGACATTAATTATCTTGACAGTGACCAAAGTTGCTCAACGGCCCTCAACAGCAGACAAAATTTGGCATTTCAGTGTTGGATGCTTTGGTGAATCGTTACCAAGACAACAAAATTTGAAGGTTCCACTGGTTACCAAAACTTTAAAGATATCGGCTGCCTCAGACCTTTTATACTTTTATCTATCTACTCCTTTTTCTGGATATATCTAGGATGATGATACTCTTGTCATATATTTCTCACACCACTGGGTGCCCATTATGTCATCTGATATTTCTTACTTAAAACTGGATGTGCATGAAAGTGACATTTTGAGTAATTTGACCAGCTCTTTTGATATTTGTCAAGTCTGCTAAATTGCCCCTTCCAGATCACCCGACAAAAAGGGGCTGTCAACTGTTAAGGGCAACAATTCCATGATGCCCCACTCGGTGAACGGCCAGAATTGTCTTTTGAGTAAATGTGGCTCTAGCTGCTGGACTCGTCTCTTGACATGTTATCAATAAAAATGCTTGTTTAGTCGATTTAGTTTACAAGATACTCAACCTTTATGCCTCCTCACTTGTCTCCGGCATGGGCACTATAGTGAAAGCAAGGCATTTGGGCGAAGCTGTTTTGGGTTGCTCTTATCATGCATTTGGACAAAGCCCATATGTTAAGAAATTGCACGTATCACAGATCAACAAATGCCATGGTTCTGATTCAAAGTCTATCTCGCCTGTCCGCCTTCACCCCGGGATCTCTCTCTCTCTCTCTCTCCCTCTCTCTCTCTCTCTGGGCTTGGAGAGTGAGCGAATGCATTCTAAACTGCTGGGCTGAAGTCCGGCTCAATAACAAGTGACTCAACTTTTTACGTGTACGGGGTTATACGGGCTATACCAGTTCAGATATTTAGGATTGTAAACTCAAAATGTTAATGTTCTTCGCCCGTAAGTGTAAAAAACGCGCAGATCTCACGTGATCAGGCGCTAGCCTTCTTCGCCGTTGGATGAGGACACGGGAAAAGTGAAAGATCGTCGTCACGACGATGAAGCGTATGATAACCCGCGCAACTTATACACGTAGTGTAATACTACCAACGGTGTTAAGCGCCGCCTCTTCTCCTACTTAGCCCTAAACCCTGTCCCCTCTCTCTCTCTCTCTCTCTCTC